TTCTCTGCTTTTTATTTCAGATTATATTGTCCCAGACTTGAATCTGACTAGAGCATGGACCACAGCTACCTATTCATATGACATATGGCAGTGGAACCTGAAGAAATCTAGCTTGGGGTATTTATCCCTTAGAGAATGAAAGGAAGGAAGAAGATTGTGAAGAGGTCTGTTTTGCCAGGAGGTGTTTGGAGTAAGGTGCTGGACTGTGTCACTTCTAATATAAAAAATTTCCTCTGAACGTGGCCCTATCTCAGATCTCAGTCTGAAGTTAGGATTTCTATTCATAGCCTGAAGGAGAATATCCTGTAAAGGTTGGTTTTGCAACAGAATAAAAGAAGCCTTTTCCTTGCCACTTAAAGTGTAACCAACAGATTCTATTTTCACCTTAGGAAGCAGAAAGCTTAGTAGTCTGAGAACAGAGCCCCACAGCCTTCAGATGTAATGTACAACTGGAGGGCTCAACACCAGCCTCATCTGAATATTGATATAGCTTATTTTAAGTGTATTTATGCACGCTATATGTAACTACAGTTTGTCAACTCAAAGTTTACACAAATTATATGGATATGTACATGGGTTTAAAAAATCTAAAACCATCTAAAACCAAAACGGGGGCTAAGTCACTGGACACACAACTAATGCACACACAATGATGAAGCGGCAAAATTTGCTTTTGCAAATTTGTATACCTAAACTGAGCAAAATTATGTTTTAAATATTTAATGCAATGAAAATTGATACAGTTGATGGCTAAATTTTGTAAAAAAACTACAAAAAACTCATCTCAAAACAAGTTTTTAAGAAATTTTGTTTTCATTTCGTTTTGACCATAACAACCAAGTGTTGCGATATTTGCAGTTGTAACCTTGCAGGGTGACTTTGTGGATGCCTGGATTTCATGGGGCAAACCCTTCCAGCCACAGACAGGACATGTTCTGACTAGAAACTTCTCCACTGCCAGCTTTTCCACCATGACTGTGAAGAAAGTGAAGATCGACAGTGCAAGCTAGGTGAGATCCAGACAGATCCAGTAATCTTATGAGAGTAGGCTCAATTCACTAGAGTATCTGCTTACATACTTATTCAGAATAGCATATAATACTTGTTTAAGTATTTAATGCCAATTGATTTTTTAAACAGAAAAATTTAAAAATACTCCCAAGTGCTGCTCAGAGTATTATTGGTTCTAAATAAATACATGAACGTTAATAATGTAGTGAAATGCTGTGATGAATCAGCACAGAAATAATGTGTATTTTTTTAATACACAGAGTCTGTATCATATTAAAATCCTTAAATTAATTTCCGTCTGTTTTTCTAACACTGATCACTTTTCAACACAGATGGCAATACTTCAAAATTTTCACTGAAACTGAAAAATTTTCAAGCCTGATTTCAGAAGTCAATGAGAATAACAAATGAAAGACTTAAGGATAAGGGAAATGAAAGCCTAAATTATTGTAACTTGTGCTTTTAAATTTCTTTATCATTCAAGGCCAACTTATAAAGTTGAACATGTGAAAGTTTACATATAAGCAACAGTGATACATTTGCAGGCAAATGTGAAGACACATTTGACCATGTATTAAAACAAATTGTCAACAATTTGTTTGCAAAGCTTCTGAGAGAAAAATCTAGACTCTGTTAAAATTACTTTTGATGTGAATTTGACGGGAGGTAAGGATCTCAAACATCTCCTCTGCATCAGAGGACATTTTACCATATTCACATTACTTATTTCCCTGGGGGAAACAGAACAAGTTCTTTAAGTGTAAAATTCTTCTAATAAATAATATACTATATTGGTAAAACTGATACCATATGACAGTGTAGAGCAGGGAATATACAAAGATCTCTTCATAGTCTTCTCATTAAAGTATGATTTGTTATCAAGAGCATATTTTTAAATGTCACCAATTATTGAAATCCTGTCTACATGTCAACTTAAGGAATGGCCACAGAAGAATAAGTTTCCTGAATAAGAAGGGCATATCTATAACTGCAAAGCTAACAAAGCTTCTGATTAAAACAGTAGTGGGCACCACCAAAAGTATTATTTAAATATGTAATATATATCTCTTTCATTAATACAGAATCATAAAGGTTAAAAAAGGTTAAGCAAGCAAATAGTTACTCTCAGGGTGACTACATTTACTAACTAACATTAACTCATTAAGTGCCTGAATGGACTGTTCACAATAGGCAAATATCTGCAAAGCACCATAAAATTATGAATGATATGTTGTATTTACTTTTCATAATGTGCTGATCTGCAATACAGAAAACACTTTTACCTTTTGGATATAAATTAGTTAATAAGTGAAAAAATACTAAGCCATGTTTCCTTCATGCCCAAAACATACATAGGAAATTTACTTTCTACAATTTTTCTCGGGAAGAACAATAGTAAACCACTGCCATCCTTTCAAATTCAGTATTATCAAATGACGTGTGTAAAACCTAAAAATTATCTAAAACATCGAGGCTGGCTGCTCTTGACTTTCTGACTGAGTGGGTAAAAAGGGTCCAGTGCGACAGCAAGGCAGAAAATGAGTAAAGCAGCAGGAAAGCAAAAACAACAAACCCCCAGTTTGACTAAAATCAGAGTGCTTCCATTAAAACAAAGCACTTCTTTCCATAGTCCCCAGGAGAATTCATTTACATGAAGAGCAGATTTTGGTTCAAAGTACTTTTATACTCAGAAATTACATTTAAAGGGTAAATTCTAGGACAGTACACTTAAATTCTGTGCAGAATTAATTGCCATAATTTTCTTGCACTGCAATTATTTAATGGATTCAAATCATGAAGAAAAAAAGTCATGTCCAATTTTGAAACATGCATCTTGCCACCTGTGCCCAACGAAAGCATGAACATATTTTCTTGATTGTTTTAACTTCCCTATATACAAAAGTTCTGAACGAAACTGTACCTGTGAATTGACTCACACTGAAGTCACACACAAGCCTGCACTATCCTAAACCTGCTTATTTTCTGGGAGTGTTTACAACTGTTTTCATATTTCATTAAGAAGAATTAGTAAGCCTCCATTGCACACATGCCGAAAGACGAAAACAAGAGTACCAGAACATTAACAGAAAAACGGCACACTGGATGTTGTACTGGCATCCAAAAGTGTTTGTTTGGGTAGATATGCAGACTGAACCAACAAGATGAATTTAAGTTCAACAGTAACAAATGCTGAAAGAATCAACCCTAATTTTACTTACCCACCCAAAAATTTGCAATTCTAATTTGTTCTCTTATGTAAATATCCCTTCAAGTACAGAAAGCAAAAAAATGTCTTTCCTGATTCTGTATCTAATAAGGATGACCAAAAAATAAACTAGTGTTCCCTTATTATTAACAAGAAACACATAATGTGGTTTCAAAGAGGCATATGATAACCATGACCCCATGTAAGGGGAAGTCTACTTGGGCAATCAAAGTAAGGATTTAGAAATCAGATTATTTTATTTTAAAGATAATACAGCTGTCACTGAAACAATGAACATCCCAGCTCATCTAAACAGACTCATTTGCTCTCATTTAGTATTCAGTTTCCCCTTTCTAACTGTGTAGACTAATTAGTGCTAACCTATATATATATGGAAAAGTATGTTATCCTCCTCCTGGAGTTTTAGGCAAGGAGCCAAAGGCCAGATACAGAAGTATGGCAGCACAGAAACAACTCTGACCAAACTCAGGATCTGGTTCTTTGAGAGTACACAAGAAGTACAGTGACAATTTCTTCCATGGTTGTATCCCCAAAGCTGAGGACCACCATTGCACTTCTAGTACTAACAATATTAATCTGACTGGTCCTAGATATTCAATGAAAAATTTAAGGTTCAAAATATTACAACATTTTTCTCACTCATTGCTAGTTATTAATCAACAAGCTGCATTATTTTTCTCTGGTAGTATTTTGTGTCTGGTGTAAAATTAAAAATAAACCCCATGTGGATAAACAGTTTGAGTTTACTTAAAAAAATTATAAGAAAATATAGAATATAAGCAATTAAAATGTAGCCCTTTAACAGCAGTACTCTAGCAGTGACCATCATCACAATAAATGGTCTGGAATAGACATAACCACTGCATTGTTTCCTTGACACACTTCCATGATTCAGTAGGTCAGATATTCTGAAGGATTTCTTTCTTCTATTAGGTTACCCACAAATATGATATGAACTTTGCATCTAAAATTTAAAGAAAAAACTTTTCCTCAAATTCATACACTTCTTTGGATAAAGGACCATCAATTATCAAGCACATAGAAATTGGTTATGATAGTCATTTCATATTTGACTACCTACACACTGGAGCTTCAAGGTAATTTTGCTATTTTATACTGAAAGCATCATCAACTAACTGATGCCTGAAAATTCAAAATAACTTTAAGTATTAAAAATCACGTTTTGTAAAACAGTTCTATTCTAGAACAAGTATTTCTGGTATTTAAGGGCAAAACTGCACTTTCATTGAAATCCCAGTGCTTGCGCGTTGTCTTCTGTGCCTTACGGCCGCTTTTCCTCCTCTAGCTGCAAAGCCCACTTGGCAGTGTTTTATTGGGTTTAGGTACTTTAAAATAAAAGCAAACTACATTAGAGCCATCAAGCCCTGGAAAAGGTGAACCTTGAGTTGTTTTTAATCTGTTCAGAAGGGCCATTTTAATCCATTCAGAGTAATCATACTCTTTATGAAAGAAACCTAACTATAATTTGGCATCAATGTTTACAGTTCTGTAATCCACTGTAATAGTTTGAGATACTTTAAGAAAACCCTCCAAATACTGAGATGCTTATTGCAATTCCCTTTTAAAGATTCAAAAGTCTTCTAGTGACTTTGCATTTCCTATTTTTATCTTCGTTATAGCATATAGTGTTATATATTTGAAATGCGCTTTCCATGTAAAATCAAACTTGAAAACACCCACTTAGAAACAATATTTCAGTAAATAGAGGGTTTAAGGCAAGTTATTCATTTGGAAAAATCATTTTCCATTTGTTAATCCTAGATTGACACAATTTTATTCCACCCCATCAGTGCCTTGGGATACACAACGTACATTCAGCAAAGGGCACACATATGACCCTATGGACATACGTTGCAAGTCCTGAGTGCCCATTGAAATAATGGTAACATCTTCATATAAGGCGTGACCCACAGGGACATGGCATGGGAGGGGTTAATTTGTTTTGTTTCCAGTCTTGCTATTGTATGTGATTTTCCTAGGTAATGCATTCTTTTCTTACTAAACATCTTTGCAAACAAATACAAACCCCTTTAAAAGGTGCTAAAAATGGGTTTCTGAAAACATACAAAATATATTCATCATAGTATTTCCTCAATCACTGTTTTAATGTTTGATATCTGCAGGTTATTTCTTGTTTCTGACTGAAACTATTATTTGTTGTGGAGTAACTGTTCTTTTGCAAAACATTTTCTTCTTCTAGTGTTTTGGACCACACAGGCTGGATGGTTTCATGCTTTTGACTTCCTTTTTGAGTTCTTTTCAATGGAAATACCAACAACACCAGAATGCTGGCAATATGAAGACAGAAAAAGCAGGAGCTAAAAAACAAAGAGAAATAATAATTCAATAAAACTTTCACCACTCTTACAGGATACTTAAGGAATAAACTGTCAAAACCTACTTGCATACTTCGAATGTAAGATAAGAAAACATTAGTATTTCCTTTAAGAAAAGTAAAATAAGGGGGAAATCAGAAATTAAGTCCTCCCTTACAGTATTTAGTGCTGTAGCAAGATATAAAGTGAACAGAAATTTGCTTTCTAATTTTTTCCACAAGTTACTTCTGGGAAGTCAATACTTAGTCTTGCTGTAAAATAATTCAAGGGCATATAGTAATTTCTAAGGTACCCTCTGGTTTTGTTTTTGGTTGGGTTTTTTTCCCTGCCCCAGGAAAAATAAGTCCAATACGATAGCAAAATGAAAGCACTCTAAGGTTTTTCATACATAACACACGCCACGTTCGAGCACTGGAACAGAAATACAGTCCACTCAGATAATAAATCAATTTTATAATTATAATTACAATAGCTTCAAAAATCTTACACTGCAGAAAACACTTCTATTTCAAGTTAGAGAAAAGGAAACAGGTAGAACGTCCTTACCTGTAAAAGGTGAAAGAAGGTTTTACAGAGAGCAGTACAAATGGCACGACTGTGTAACTTATTGCTATTTGAGTTGCCATCCATGTTATAATATCATAACACACTTTAACAGCAGGAGATTCAACAAAATAGTGTCTGATATTGTTTCTTATCTGAAAAAGCAGGTAATAGAAAATTAGCTTAGGAATAAACCTTGGGAGCTCAGAGTTTGTTGCATTGACACAAAATTCATAGGATGAACTGAAATGCTACAGTTTGGTCAAATATCTTTGAACTACTCAAAATGCCCCTCAGCTTCAACAGGAGTCAGTTCAAATTCCCTGCTCTTCATCCAACACAGGAATTTAAACATTTATCAATTTAAGCAGAATTTAAGTAAATGAATCCTCCATAAAACCCAATGCAACTTTGCACTGGTTGTCTGAATCAGGACAACTCTATTCTATCAAGGCATTCTATAAATATAGAGGGTTGCAATAAATGAAAGCCAGAATCCTTCTGATGAAAGCTTCTATATGGTAAGTCATTTTCATATACTTGTTTTAAGATATATTTTAGGACAAGCAGGTTATAAATCAGAATATACAAAATATCAGTTCTAGTTATATATTTCAGGAGTCTTAATAACAACTACTATCTAGTGGGATTGATATAAACTGACTCAATTTTCTATGCTGTCTTCTTTTGTTTGTAAAATTCTGTTCAAACAACAGAACAACAAAGGTATTTGAAAAAAATCCAAATCCAAAACCCACACAGATTTGGGTTCAGTTTTATTTAAGTCTATAGTTAAAAGACACCAGTAAATCTTTGTCCTTCCTTCCTTTGACTGAACTATCATCCTTGCTTTAAATCTTATTTGCTGAGAAGCCAAGATGGGCTCCATTCAGCCTCTCTGAGCTTCGTATCACAGTTTCCATCTCCCAGTCACTTGCACTGAAGCAAAAATGCAGCACCAAAGTGCACAGTTTAGTTTCTTCAAATCTCTGTTTCTTTAGAACTCCTGTTTCCAAAGAACATACACAAGGCTAGCTCCTGCTGATTTAATTCTTTACATTAAAACCTTTCTTTACCCCTCTTGTTCTTACCAAATTGCCTTGTAGATACAGCATTGCCACTCAGCCTTTGCCTAGTTAAGCTAAGTAAAACAAGTCATTCTGGCCACATACCCTTCATCCTAATCTCCACCCAGTTTCCTCCTATGATCACATGCAATGACTTGTTCCTGAGTTCTGTAGAATTCAGATGAAGCTTCACAGAATTTCTTGTAGAGAAATCTTGTATTTTAGGACTTGAAAGACAACTTTAAACACAAATCTACAATTGCCCCTAGTAAATACCTGATTTTGAAATGTGTAATGATTAAAGGAGGTAAAACAAATTGAATATATGCTTAGGCATGACAGAACAAAGTGTGGACCAAAGCTACCACACTTTGCAGTTAAAGGCTAATAGAGTTAAATAACAACTATGCTGAAGTACTTCTAATATATCTTAGCAGTTAATATTAAGTACCTGTTAATACAGAAACTCAAACTATTTTTTTACTAGCCTATTGATTGATACATATGAAATGTGAATACAACACACGTTACTAGAGAAGCTCAGGATGAAGTGCAGTGAACACTCCTATTTACTGGACTCATCTCACTGAGTAAACGACTTTTACCTGAGAACTGTCCCAGAACCTTGGCTTTTGCACCAGCCCCTGGCTGATAAATGTCAAAAGTTCCCTGTGATAGTCTGGAAGAAGAAGAAAGCTACATCTATTGTAAAGAAAGGAGTCAGTTCTGTCAAACAAGGATTGTGTCCTCATCTTGTCAAGAAAGAGAAGCATCTGTTTTATTGTTGTAGAAACAATCTAAGTCTGAAATACCACCTTCCCCTAGCTATTAGAGCAACAAAGAGTAGTCTGCTTCATTTCTTATTTTCCTGGTTCTTTCAACGAAAAATGTGGTCAGTTATGCTCCTCTGACATGTAATTTGTTCCTCTTTTCCACTGAGTAACTGATAAACCTGTCTCTGTTCTTACACAGCTTTCTCAAGCAGAACTGTGAGAGATTTCTTGGCAGATTTGCTGGTTCCATATGGTTCTGAGTAGCAGCTGCAAAAGCTTGTTAATGTGACTGCACTGCTGGCTGGCCAACTTGGAATGGTAGCTGCACTAGAGATTTTTATCTGCTGCTTGACAGGGAGCATTCTTTAGTTACCACCTTTACACTAGTACTGGACAGAAATTAGGGAGCTACTCATCATCAGTGATTTCTTCAAAATTATCTTAGAAAACATCAACCTATTCAGTATGCCAGTAACACAGGATCAGTTAATACAGAGGAAGAGCTTCCACAAAAGATATGCTACAAAAATGTTATAGGCTGTGTACAGTCTTCTTTGTTTCCACCAGTCAACCCTTCCTTACATCTAATCATTCCCATTGCTCTCTTAACTGAAAAAAGTAAACACTCCTATCAGACAGATTGTGTATAAACTGTAAAGGGCATCTTTGGACTACAGAATATGATCAATTTTCTTTTATAAAACATATTATTTAAGAAGATACTTGGTTGGTACTTACAGCTCGTGCTGCTAGTGTCATTAGTACTCCTGTTAAAAATGTTAAATAATATCCTGGGTAAACCCCGTGCCAGATGGCAGAAAGGATGAAGGTTTGGATCGTTGGGCTGAAGGTGGCTCGCTCATAGCACACTCTAGCAAGTCAAAAACAATTCAAGATAAATAACACAAGTCACTCACAATCTTCTCAGTCATCCTTTTTACTTTTACCAGTTGCACCTCCAACACAGAAGTTTGAATGCAATTGCAATTTCCTGTTATTTAATAATATTGCCACTGTATTATGACTTACAGAAAATGTTTAGAGCTATTCACAGCTCCCAGTTAAGCCCTCAGCACAAACCTGTGCTCAGTGCCATCACACATGGTATTTATTCATAATGAAGGGATACACAATCATCCAAAGATGGGTGTTGGCATTAATGAGGGATCTTGAGCCATCCAAGAATGTGTTTGAAAAGCTACACTGGAAGGTGCAGACAACCCTGGAGACTCTTGCAATGAGTCAGATACATGCTTTTCACAAAATGAAAGCAGCCTATAGGAGAATGGGAAAAGTAAATACTACTTTCAATTTTGAATAATAAAGAGACTAGAGTTGAAAATATGTCTGTGTGACACAATTAGGTGAGCATGATGATGAAAATGTAATAAATACTCTACTGTTGCAAGAATATCAAATAAGGACAATGCTGAACTCTATTATATAAAAATTGAGACTCTGAACTATTAGGCAAGGTCCTACAGTAAAGAATTCTAGAAGAAAGAAAGGAAAAAGGAATCCAAGAAAGGTATTTTCTAGAAGACAACATTATATGACACAATGACAAACCATCATGATGTGGAAGAATGATAGGAAACATGGTAAGGTCCTGATATGGCTTCACCAAGATTTCTTTAATGTCTTTAATGATCTGAAAACCAAAAAGCAATAGGAAATATGGAAACAGATACAAACTAACATGAAGCAAAAATAAACACCACAGCCATGCATGAACACAAATCTATGGCTAACACACAAAATGAGTTTTAACTAAAAAGGACATAAACACCAATATGTAAAAGGTTTTGTAACTACATAGCAAGTAACAGAAAAAAAGAAGAGAATTCATGTCTATTATTTAAAGAAGACGACAAGCTAATGATACAGAGGGCCAAAACAGTCACTACTAATCTAACTACTTTACTACAACTTCCATGTATACAAAAGATTACTGAGACCTACTGATGCAGTCAATGTTGAAGGACAGAAGGCAAAAAGACAGCATCTGAATAGGGAAAGATCAAAAGTGTATTTTGCTAATTTAGTTTATTCCAGTCAAATAGATGTGGTAAGTTTTATCTTATGAGGTCTTCAGTGCAGGATATGAGCACAACCCTCTCCTCCTGCTAAAGGGCTTCGCTCACAACGGCCAATAAGATGAGAACATGGGGCTAAGTGGAGGGCAGGTGCTTACATGCTTAATACACAAAAGTACCTGAGGACATTTGCCCCAAGTACATCACCTTAAAGACAAAAGCAGCACTGGGTCAGGCTAAATAGTAAACATAGAATTTCAAAGAAACATTTTTGACAAAGAATCTGTCAGCCTCAGAAGTACAAAAGCTTTAGGAAAATTTGTGATGAGTCAGGGAGACATCTTGGAGGAAAATACCAGTCACCAAAACCTCGTTTGACACTGCCAGACGTCACCCCACCAGCACTATGACCTCTGTCTCAGCCAAGACAGAGCATCCCTGGTAGACACAGTAGCATTCCTGCACCCAGGTAGGGGACTGTCAGTGCAGTGTGCCATGCCAGGGAGCAGGATCTCGTTCCTGTCAGCTGCAGGTACAGGAATTTGTGGCATGCGAATCAGCAGATTCACAGCGAGCTAGAGCACTCACGTCTCCCACAGGTAGTGCACACAAGCAGGGGGCCCACACTCCCAGGAGGAGGTGTGGGTTTGTATCCCATATGTCCTTGGGAGAGGAGGTGCAGTTTGCATGTAACTGTGTGCATACATGTGTGCTTTTTAAACTGCTCGGGATTAGTTACAGAAGAGGGTTTAGAAATGTTTATTAAACCAGAGCACTAAGCACACACAAAGTGTTATCTGTTCTAGTACTGCTATTAATTCTGAACATATATTTTACTGAGCAGTGGTTAATTATGTCTCATTAATAAACTGATACATGGCTTCAATCTTTATTTGGTTTAAACTACTGAAATAGTTCCCTGAAAAGCATTCAAGACCTAACAAAACTAACTAAATTAATTAACCAAATTAACTAACCAAATTTCAGTTGTATCAATGCGAGTCAGGTAAGATATACTACAAAAAATCATCAGGTTTCAATTTCAAAGAGTAAAAAGTACACTTAAACTCTTCCATGGTTTTGGTAATAATAAATCATGTTCAAATGCTTCATTTGACATTCCTAAAAACACATCAAGGAAATATGGTCATCACAACAGGTTGCAAAAATATATTCAAATACAGGTGGTTCAGGTTATCTTATCCATAATTTGCTCTGGAAGTGGGAGGATGCATCAACTGTTCAAGAAGAGTATTGCCTTTTGTCTGGTTCTATATTTTCATTACTAACTTGGGTGGTAGACTGAGAAGTACATTTTTCCACCTTGTCTTCCCTTCCTTTTTTGGGGTGGAAGGTGGGATGGACGAGATTGGCATTGTTTTCTTAGCCGATATAGCACTAGAATCCAAAATGATCTTGATAGACTTGAAGGATGTTCTGAAATCAACAAGATGAAGTCCAAAGCATAGAATATCTAATAAGAAAAGTGGAAGATACAAAACAGCACCATTCCTGTAACATTCCTGAAAAAGCGTAGCTGGGTATGAATATGAATCAACAGTATGAAACACTGAATATCAGCTGAGCATGAATCAACAGTAGATTGCTGCTGCACAAAAAGACAGATATAACACTCTTCCTAATACATCACAGTATTACCTACAGAAAATAATGGCAATTAATCCAGTCAAATTATTCAACTCAGCCTGTAACAAGCCAGGGAAAGACCTTGAAGGTCTTAGCAGAAGTACTACATCCACTCTAAGAAGACAGGAAGTTTGGAAAGAGGTCAGAATCAAGTAACAAGAACCAGAAAAGTTTTGCAAACATGACCAAAGACAAATGGCATTAGATGGTTTCTTCGGAAAAGAGAGTGAACAGGCTAAGGGGGGAACGTAACAGTTTTCCCAGTCAGGAAACACTATGGTGTTATGTATTGTTGATATATGCTGCCATGTAAACATCTATTTTAACTTGCATCCTTGTAACAATAACACCTCTGAATTGCTATATCTTATGATCTATGTTAAACGTTTACTAAAATTCTTTGTGATCTGTAGCTCCATTAACTGTGGTTTTTACAAGGAGTTTGTTTTTACACACAATCAGGGTTTAAATCCTGTGATTCTGGTGGTTCAGTTTTGCTTTAGAGAGTATTAGAAAAAAACAGAACAAATGCTGATGTCTGCTATTTCATGTGAGATAAATGGCTAACAGTTTAGGTACTTCTATAAATGATAAAAAGGTGAGGTATTAAAAGTGGATGTTTAAAGTAATATATGAGCTTGTCCTCCACTCTAATTGTTGTAGCATTGCAATCAACCAAATTATTAGTAATATAATATATATTCTCTAACACTATGGACCTCATATACAATCAATTAAAACAATCTTACTTGCAACAAAACCTCCAGAAAACATCCACCCTTCTCCCGTTCACTGTGGCAGAATAAAATTAGATGATCCTCAAAGATTAAGACTATCCTCAAGGATTCTTCTACTATTGTTTTAAAAAATATTTATTAAAGGAGGTTTTAATTTTTCTTCACATCTTATTTTCTTGTCCCTCTGAGCAACTGATTTGAATTTTTTTTCTTTCAATTCTTAGCAGAAGTGTTATGCTTCTTCACTAATAAGAGTGTTTCTTTAGAATCACTCCATTTAGGAGATTTGAAAGTTTGTTAGAATACAACCTTTTCCTGTTAAGTTTTAATACTGATAAATTTCTGTTCTCTAACTAAATTAAAATAGCTAGATAACTTATTTTCTTTATTAAATGATACATTTCAATACCTGCAAACATGCAATTCTTCTTTGTTCATTGTCTTAGCAATAGATCCTGTTGACCATTGAGCCAACCAGAATAATCTCATGAAACTCAATTTCTGTTTTTAATTGAGTCAGCAAAATATTTAGGGATGAAATTATGAAAGGAAGAGAAAACACTATGAAGAAATTTGATGGAAGAAACATCCTGTTGCCAGCTATCTTAGAATAAGGGGTTAAGTCCTCTGAGTGATCCCAAGATAGGGGTCTCAAACTTGCACCTATCGATAGAGATCCAACTCAACAGACTGGAAGAAGGGAAACAACACCCACATGCTACTCAGGAACACTTTTACTTTCTAGTTACCACAAAGAAGTAGAAGGATGTAGTTCACAGGACACTATACCTGTTTCCCAGACAAGGAAAGAGTGCAGCTGAGGGATATCTGCAATTTCTGTTGACAGCACATTGCAACTCTTAATGGAAGGAGCATAGAAAGTTCTCTCACAAAACGAATGGAAGTTCCTATATCACTATGTGGCTAAAAATAATGCAGAGCTTTCACAGGCTGAGATGTACTTTTTGCCTGCTGTTCTCAGCAACATGCGCTGGTTTGAATGCTAAGAGAGGAAAAAAGACGCCCCCACAGATAAACAGTTTTATGTTCCCTTTGGCCAGTGAAGAAAAACTGTTTCTGTCATAACCTGATAGTCTACACTGAGTGAAGTCTTAAATTCAGAGGCTTTAACTCAAGTATTACAAGAAGAATGTCCTGCGGAGTTGCTAAACAACTGATGTGTTGTGGGGTTTTAGTTTTAAATGTTACATCATCTTCAAAGAAATATTTATCTAAGAAACTTCAGTGGAAAAAAGCTTTCCTTTAAGAAATAAATACCTTTTGAGCCAAAGAGCTGTTTGGATATTCCAGTTATCAAGAAACATCTTGAAACTTGTGGAAAACTGTAAAATAAAACAAATTAATTATTTCTATAATTGTGAAGTATTATAAAGTGTTTCAAAATTCTCATGTATAAATTATAAACCCTCCCCCACCAATTTTGTGATGAGTTGAATAAGTTATTTGCTCAACTACTTATAACCACAAAATATTTTGGAAATCAATTGACAAGTAGAACATGTTCAAAACAGACTATTTTCCATCCTTTCCTAAGGATGCGAACACATCATTTCTGACTTTAAACATACTCACTACCTTAAGGAACAAAATGCGTAGGAAAGTTACTGAAATTACAAATAACTACCTACATGGGCATGTAGGTTTTTTTAAAAGAGCCAGAAACAAACCTCTATTTGCTGGATTCTCAGATTTGATATTAGATCCCAACGTGTAACTCCATTTTTATCATAGCCTCTAAAACCAAACCCTGCTGCATTATTAATTGCATCTGCTGCAAAGAAACAAAAATAAACAAATTAATTATAAACGTCTGCATCACACAGCATGTAGTTTGCTAAAAATATTTATCACACCTTAAAGGCTACATTTATTTTTTCTTTTAAATACTGAGGATCACTTGAACAAACAGAAAACAATCGAAGCAACACATTGGATTTCAATTCAAAAACTTGTACAAAAGCACAAGAATGAAAGGTAGCACTATCTACTTCACAATACAGGTGTTCCCTCTCTCTCATAGCACCTACTTAGACTTGCTTGAGCAATCTGACAGAAAAACAAACTTAATAACATGCATCAAGACTATGAAACAGTATCTGGTTGTAATGATTTGAGACAGCAGCTCAATGCTCAGATGCGTGTCTTTGGTCTTCATTATGCAGCAACAGCAATGTTTAATGTTTAATGCATAAAGATAAAATTGCACAATTCCCTTCAAGCAGGTGCACACTCACAGCACCCCATGCAGAGCAGTGCAACCCTAACAAAAGAAAACAGTAATTTTTTAAGTAATGCAGAATTTGTCAAAGTTCCACTAATGGCACAAGGCCACTGTTAACACCTCTGAATGTGAAGTGTCTACACTGCATGTCAAAGGTCAGATAGTTCAAAGCAAGCAATGTTTTTCCCTAGGAGAAAAAGCACTGCTGTCATCCAGACTACGCAGGAAAATCCAAGGGATCTCTGCTGCCTGCCCCTTTCAGTCATTACTTTTGCCTGAGCTTTGTTAGCTCAGACATTAAAATTTCCTCAGCTGTTCAAATTAGGATGGCCACATGCAAGGAAATGAGATAGTTTTTTTCCCAAGTATTCCCTCTGTTGAACCAGGTGCTTGGTGGAATGCACCCAAACATGGACACACATCCACGAGGCATGAACCCAACCACTTACATGGATCACTAAGGGACCATGGGCAGAAGAATGCCAGCCCTTCTACCATGTCAGAGGAGTCCTGAGGAACTGGAATTAAGGTAGGCAAAAGGCTCTGCAGAAGCCATACAGATCTAGTCCTCTAGTTACAGGGCCCTCTCTGTCAGCTCAGAATTCATTTAAAGCACTGTAATTAGATTGTGACCTTTTCAATTACAGCCAGGAACGTGGGAGATACTGCACAGGTTTTATTACCACATTGAAAAGAATTTACTTCATACAATAGCCACATGTAAGAAAAATTTGTATTTTTTATAATTTCCTTTCTTCTCAACAACTTTTTGAAGGTATTAATGTTGTGTATTTGGAAAGTATAAGAAACAATTGACTCAAACACACAAACGGTTTCTTTCCTGAAGTTCAGTTTTTCCTGTTATCCACCAGTTTGGAAAAGGGCTTTGTAACGTTTCATTGAATATAGGGTAATTTATAATATTTTTATTTTCTTGTGAAAATTTAAAAAAAAAAAAAATCTTTGAAAGCAACAAAATCTGCTGCCCTACATCTGATGTCACTGATGTCAACTTCAAATATTAGGCAATGGTTTTATGCACAATTAGAAACAGCTGAAGACACAAATCTCATACTCTTGCTAGCTAAAGTACAAAGACTACAGCTAGAGTAACTACTCATTTTATTCACAACCATTTTAGTAAGTATTTCTTTAAAGTAATTTATTTTATTAACAAATTTTTTTCTGAAGTAGCGTACAACTCAACAGCATAACGTCCAGTAAAACTGCTAAAGCCCCCTCATATTCTACTCCTACCAATATAAGTTTAGATGAGACAAAGTGGAAGGAAGAAGTTTTAAAAAAAGCTATTTAGCAAACTAAAAGCACAGAGTTGGCATAGTTTATTTTCGTTGGTATTTTACCAAAGGAATGCTAGCTCTATACTTTTAGCAAGTGCATAAGGACAAGACTATTTGAAGTATTAAAGGAAAAATCCCACCAACTAAGATTATTCATTTTTCAGATGACTCCTATGATTTACAGATGATGACACGGGTGCATAAGACCACAATATTTGAAATTATTTCATTCCACAACAAGCCCCAGAATTACTATATCCAGACAAGCTGAAAGTGTTTCATTCATTGACTAGGAATGAAACCAGCAGCTGTAAATGAGTCATGCTGCTCTGCTACACTAAAGCTTTCTTTATTGCATTGTTCCCACAGATTCTCTCTCAAAAGAATTATGAAACAAATATGTAAAACTGGAGAGGAGGAGGAAGCTGATGAAATCTGTTGTGTGAGCCACTTCCAAGATGTCAACTTACATAAATAAAGTAGTTTTCTGTTGTATGTGTTGTCTATTTCAAATAACATGAAGTGAAACGCAAAAGGTTCTTTAAACTATATAATTTATTCAAGTGTTTAAATCAGTTACTAAGGATGTTTTCTCACCCATCATACAAACTTTTGGTAAACAAAGACTAAAACTGAAGTGACACCCATCAGATTCTGAAAATAGTACTGCAGATGCCACCTACTATTAGCAAAAGTACGATACATCTGAATTTCAATATATTCATTTTCTTTCATGCTTGAGTAACATCAAGCAAATTACTAACCACAAAAAATTAACTTTGCAGATATGCCAAAAATCAAGGTATCAAAATAAATTTAAAAGAAAAAAAGAGGGATTGTACATTAGACTAGAGTTATTTTTTTATTATTATTATTTTTTAAAGTTGTTGCTCATTAAAACACTACCACCCCAAAAAACTCCTAAAGTTTCACTCAGACTTCTAAAGGAGACTAAGATCTCATTTGCAACACTGTCACAACACTGTGCTTACATTTTTGGTACCTTTTGTTTCTCAAAGAGAGAGACAATACCTCAGAATACTTAAATGCAATCAGGTTTTCCTAAGGCCTCAAGAGGGCACTGCCACTTTTTAATATATTCTTAGGTATGCAGCATCTTAAATGAAACTCAACACGTGCCCTTTTTGTTATTACTATATTTTTAAATATATACTTACCTAAAGTCCATGCAAAATAATACTTGGGTCTGGCAGCCATAAGAGACACATATAGGTAGAAAATCCTTACAGGCCATGATGCTGTAGCTCTGAAGTTATCATCAATGTTGTATTCCACTGGCAAAGTTTTTGTAATAGTCATGTGGAAGAGTAGGGACAGTCCACAGATCAAGAGTTTCTGTGCCACAGCTATCTGAAAGTTTAAGATGGGAGAATTTGTAAGCTTCATTTTTTTTTATCTTCTGGAAAAAAAGGAAAATTATAACCTTCCTTCCCTATACAGATATAAATGTATATCAATTTTTCTGTAATATATACTACCAACTTTAAAATAGTTGGCAACATTTTACAGAGACTCAAGGAATATTGTTACATTGATCAAGTTGTGAGCACCCCTTCTCCTGGCAAACACAACAAATCCAGTCTGACTACAGTAAGCCCCTAAAAACCCTTCAACAATGGGAACACCTTTTGCAGCTCCATTTTTTTTTTTTATTTCATTGCCAAATTAATGAAGTAAGTAAATTTTTAAGACATCATAACACAAAACATATAATCTAGGACAGAGTACAACTACTGTAGAGATTCCAAAACAATGGCAAAGCTTCGGTTTATTTTCAGTAATCTTTGGCATAATGCAGGTCTTCAATTGCTGCCCAACTTAATATATCAATCATCTCTGCTAGATTATTACAGTATTTAAATGCTAAACCAACTAAAATATTGAAATAATTTATGAATTTTCAGCCAAAATACCTCAGTTCTATATAGATCTCTTTTCCCAACAAGAATGATCGAGCTATAAGGGGACAAATAATACGCTCACAGATGTGTAAAATTATGTTGTTCGGGTAGGACCTCCTCAGATTTTCTCAAAACTCAGCTTTGCTATAACCGCTACAGTAAAGAATCAGTATTATTTTTAAGAAAACATTTCTACGGTTCTATTATAAAACACACAGAGCAATAATTTCTAATACTGACTGCTCTAAATCACTAGTCTGATCCACACCGCAAGTACAGATACTTTAGGAACTTTCTCGGAACATGGTAACACTCTAAACCAAGTACCAACAAAAGAGAAGTTTGAGAGCTGGTTCATTAAAATATAATTTTAAAGTTTTTATTTTAAGTAATCTCAATATTTAAACATTACAGTTTTAATTTACATTAAAATTCTCCAGAAACTAAACTTGACAAGAAAACAATCAATATATTTTTCTTTGAAGCATCAGAACAAAAAGATAATCAGAATCCTTTTTCTGTCCATGCTGTTTCCAGTATACCTGCCCAAACTTTTAAAGATAACATTCTGCTTCACTGAGAGTTCAGCTTCACATATCTAGTTCCAAAATAAAGGATAATTCTGTTTCATGATACAGAATGGACCATTAAACATCCAACTGAAAACACAGACTTCGGCAAGACACACAGTATCAAAGATTCACCCAGTCACACAGATGATACAGGTGATACAACCTGATAAAAAATTTGATTTGAAAAAGCTGTAAAACAGTGAGGGTATTTTTGAATATTGCATATATTTCATGTGGCTCATCTCAGAAGATATTTCAGAGAGGATCAGAAATCACAGCTGGAAAACTCAGGAGGCAGCTACCGATTAATGGCTAAAACTGGTGTTTAATTACTTGTTTCTACTTGCCTTCTAATAAACCTCATTTGAATACTTTACCACAAGAATTCAAAATTAAGGGCATTAACTTTCTAAAAGTGTTCCTTTCTTATTCTAGAACTATTATTCCACCTCTCTCTTTGCTAGAGCAGAAGCAAAGTTTAGTTGGCTTTAATTTCTATTTCAATTCCTGAAAAAGTTATGTTCTTAAAATCAGTGTTAATAATAACACTAAAGAATCTTGAATTCTGGTATGCAGTACCTGATAAATGCAAAAGTTTGATGTTTGTAAATACCAAAAGGAATCACCCCAAAGTTCTGAAGACAGCTGCAAGGATTCAACTTCAAAGTCTAAGCTACAATTAAAAGTCACGTTCAGTTTCACATGAGAAACAATATTTATAAGCTCCTGCTTTGTGCCTCTGCCACTGTTTACCAATTTTTCTATTAGTAAATAAAAATAATTAATCTGCCCATTCAACCTGAAATCTGTTTAGTACCTCTCTGAAGGTTTTAAACTAAATTGTGGAGGTGTGAACCCTCCTTTTAAGGTTTGGTTTCAACAAAATTTACCTTAAGAAAAAATAATGAACTCATACAGGACTCTGCCACAAATTCAAATTTTTCTTTTTTTTTTTTTTTAAATTATACTACTTCACTCAATAATTATACATCCCAGCCTGCTGATACCACTTACAGGAATCAGTATCAGGGATATTAGTGTCCTTAGAAAACTGTGATGGAGATAAATATCTTGCCTCTACAAAGTCTGGGAGCTGCAGTTTCCAGACTGGTTTAAACAGAGTTTCTGAAGGACAAACCAAACACAAGCTGCAATGCAAAGCACCAGTTCTGCCCTGCTTCCACTCCTTGGCTGCAGGACTGACTCTTGTTCCTTATAGTGAGACACATTAGAGAAACTAATCAGATGAAACCCTTGATTTTTGGCATTTTATGTGGTTTTTTTTATTTGGTTGCTGTTGGGGGCTTCAGGGGGAGTGAAGGTGTTCTGTTCTTTGGTGGTTTTTGGTGAGTGCTTTTTTTGTTTGGTTCATTTTCAATGGCAAGTTAGAGTCAGGTTAGATCAAATGATCTGAACCAGGCTACAACACTGTGCACTGACACCAACATAACCCTACAGTTCAATTACCTACAGAAATGCATTTGGTAAAATATTAATTCACTTCCTATTACTTAATTAACCAGGTTATTAATAAAAGCTTCTTTGCCAAAGCATAAATGGGCAATCACTGGATTGCACATTCACAGGAGTGTTGGTCAGGTTTTACAAGGATGAAATAACTTGAAATTTAATTTAATTTGCTCTTTAAAGTTTTCAACGCATCAAAATAACTGTTCTGTTAAGGAATTAAAAGACCATAAGATGCAGGATAACTTTGACCTGACATGAATTAGCATATACAAATTATTTTACAACAAAAAGGTAGAAAGTCCTGGTTCATTTAGTTTTGATGAGCAACTGGGCATACCTGCATAAAAATATCAAATATGGTCAACAATGGGAAGGGGAAAAGGTACTTAAGCTAGAAGACAGTGCCAGGACAAAATTAAATGTGCATAAAGTAGATGGGAACATAATTAGGTTGAAAGTTAGATACCTAATTTGAGAAAGGAGTTCAGGAACAGCTTTTTAAATTGAAGAAATAAAGCTAAAACACTCACAGAGTTCAGGAATTTTAGAAATATATTACTGTATAAACATGTATAATATATGAAAACAGATACAAAAAAGTAGAGAGGAATCTTTAAAAATTTTATTTGAATGAACTTCTTGCCTGATAATCAACAAGAAGCTCAGTGTAATATTGAACTATATTAAAGCACATGATGTGGGGGAGGTACTTCTGATAAAAATTATAGGTAATTAAGAAAGAACTTTATAACCTGTACGAAGAGTCTGCATAATAAGCAAAAAAGCAGATATCTGCTGACAGGAATCTAAGGGTAGCCATAATAAAAAGAAACTTACAAAGACAGATATTAATTTCTGAGAGTTGACACCACTTTGAGCACCAACAACTGATAGCTTGCAAAAAGGCACAATAGGAGGGATATAAGAAGTAAGTTTTAATATGGTGACTTGATTCATTTAACATGCAATGAACACAGCAAAAATACTAAACCAAGTTAACATCATGCAGTCAACACACATTACAGAGGAGGAGGCTGGCATGAACTACTTTGGTTATGTAATTATATTTAACAAAAAATTAAACTTACTCTAACTCAGCTTTTAATTTACTACATTAACATTTGCTGATCCCCATTACATTTAATTTCTTTTTTATAGTTACCTAACAATTTATTCTTCTTGAAATAATAACATGAGAATCAAGGAACAAATTTTAAGTATTTATACAAAGTTAATGGTATTTAAACATTCTTCTACAACAAGACAATGAAGATTTTATTTGATGCAGCAAATGCAGTGAAATGGTATCATTCATATTTCTCCAAAGCACACAATACTCACTGGTGTTATAAAATGCAGCCAAATTTCTCTAACACCAGTTGGCAGATAGAGTATCAAGAGCATAAACAGCTTCTCTTTGTTTTTATGTTAAAAGCTAATGCAGCATAAATTGCAAAAAGTTTCAAGCATCTTAAGAGCAATTGTTTTAAGGAAAACCGCTTACCTGAAAGAAGAAGCCATCATAGGTTTACATTTATTCCTATTGACTTTGTCCAGATTGCTAGCAAGATTATGTGATAAAAAGCCAGGAAATCCTATCAGGCAATTAGTAGATGCATGTTCGGAAAGTACTGATTTGGGCAGATTTGGTTTAATTCCATATATTTGCAATAATTTTACTACATAACATTTTTCTGCAGAAATAGGATTTTAGTACATGGACTTTACTGAGCCAAAACAACATTTAGAAACAAAAGAAGTGTCTGCAATTTTGTCAATACAACACATCCACGCAGAGTACGGACCATGTGGTGTCACAATCTATGCAAGGAATTCTCCCCCTGTCTTTCATCCTTCCTAACTACTCGCTCCACAGCCCACCTGTGTGAGCTTCTGTGCTTTGTCAACTTGTGGAGCAGTTTGAAGTGTTATCATCCTCCAGCCACTCTTACATTCCTGTGGTGCAAGTTACTACAGCCACATCAGATGGGTAGAATGGAACTGCAAAGAATCCTCATCCACCTTCAAAGGGTGGAAGTAGTTGGAGATGCCACAACTGATGGGGAAGCACTCCCTGTTGGCCCAACTGTGGGACATAATCTCTAGATGGTAGGATGAGACAAGCAGCTACGTGTGGGAATGCCTTCATCTGCTCCAGCAACAGTTGATGATCCACAAGATAAGAAGAACATGGGTAACTGGCACTGGAATTAGCAAAAGCCATCTATCTGAAGTGTTCCAGCTGACCCCGTGATAATTCTGCTTCTTATGTGTGTTAATAATTATCTTAGGCACACACAAATGTACATGTCTGATATACTCCTACTTAAGAGAATATGAAAAGAGTGAAAAGATAATATCCAGTACTCTGATCATTAAACTAATGAGATTGAATTTTAAAAGTAACAAGCTTTGTGAGCTTTTGATTTTAATTCAGGTCATACAATCTCTCTTGCTAGGCATGATCAACTGGACTATCTTATTTATGCATTTGGTCTCTTTTCCAGTAGAGGAACAAGGAGAAAAAAAGAATTATGTGGCTAAGAACACTATTCATAGTGTTATGGCTAGTATACCTGTTACTACACATTCAGTATCTCTTCTCTACATGATTCAAAGCCTAAAAAATGAAACTATTTCTCTATGACTGTTTTTCAATTTGTTACATATGACTGTTTTTGACTTGTTGCAAATAAACATTAAAAACCAACATAATTTGAGAACATTCATGAAACCTTGCTGGAACTTTCATCAGCTTTCAAACAATAAATTGTGCACTTTCTCCTTACCAGGACTTTTTTTTTTCAGCACAGTATATGCTTTGAAGGAAACATGCATGAACTCTTTTAATTTAAAGATGGCTTTTTACCATATAAGCTTGTTAGGAAGCTCCAATTTAATCTGTTTTTATCCACAAGATCCAGTCTGGAAACCATGGAGAAAACCTGCCTTAAAAAAATAAGCATATAACTTTTTGAGCAGGAAAGTATTCTGTTGATGAATGAACTCCAGACAGAGCTCAGAAGTTATGCCTGTAAATGAAGAGTGCAAACCAAGCTTTTCATGCAATGATTATGTAAGCATCAGCACTGCAAGAGTCATACATCTTACATTTGGGGAAGGATCCGTTTGTTCATATTTTGTATCTTCCTTCCCATTTGCTTCAGACTGTTGCAGTTGGTATGATCTGCCTTCAATGAAAGTAATATAGTCTTTGTAAGAGCATAACGGGCCTGCCAGGATACCCATGAAATTACAGTTGTAACTTAAATACTCCAGTAGACTTGGCATGCGTCTGTAATTCAAAGACAAGCAACTTGTGAGATGGGATGTGTAGTTCTACAGAATTTCCACAGTAGGAAAAGTCATACTCCATGTTATCTCTTACTCTGATTGCAGTAAAAAACATATGTACAAAAGCAGTTTATGTGTCTTCTGTAATCACAGCTTGAAACATTCTACACACAGAATTTCTTTCCAATCCATACTGAGCATTTTCAGACAGACCTCCTGAACTCTAATGACCCTGTCCTTGCCCAGCAGAGGTGTTTGACTGAAGCTGAGCCTGGGGAAGGAAAGGAAAGGCTGTTGCTCTGTTTGTTCAACTGTATTAGGTTCTCTATTTTGAATCAATAAACAAAGCTTTGTGTTAACTGGCAATAATTTCAATTAAAGCAAATGTCTCAAATCAAGCCTCTCTTGCCCAAGACAACACACTATTTTCAAGTCTCCTGAATAAAGAAAGGAGAAAGGGTAAGTCAAATACTGAAAAACAGAATTAAACAAGCATGTTTCTTCACCAGCTACTTCATATGTGTACTGTTAACTAGTCTCCTGTCTGATAGGACATTAATTTGCATACACTGCATAGAACTTATAATGCTTTTCCTAAATAAGTAAAAACCTACTTCTAGTGATATTTTTTGGAAGAACAGATGTACAAATTAAGCTACAAATATAAAAAGCATGGATCTGTTTTACATGAGCTTGTAAACTCTCTGTCTTGAATGTGAACTGTAGAAACTGCACAGAGCATTAATAAAGCACACAAAACAGCCCCAAAGCAGAAACGTGTGAAAGCCTACCTTACAGCCAAACACCTCTGTGATGGAGTCAAGTCTTCATTTTTCCGAAACATTCCTAGGGAAGAGGACAGGAAAAAGAAAATATAAAGAAAAGCTAAACTCCCACACATTAATTAGCTGTTTCTTTACTCAGTAGAGCAAGCCTCATGCTGCAATGTAATTTCTTAACCCCTCAAACAATTTCAGAGGTATTATGTCACATAACATTTTTGCTGGAGTTGGATCAAACAATTCTTACTGTTGACAGAATTACAAACTTTTGTATCTTCAGTTATATCCAGCAGTGCCTAAACCTGAAATCACATGGATTTCAGGAAAGCATTAAGACAACTTGTGGTAAGTGTTGACAAAAACAATTCTCCTACACTGGCTAAGACTTCAAAGTCTGCAGGTTTTAAAACTCTTTATTCCCAGTCCTGGAAACTGGAGAAGCCCCTAAACCCTTTCAACATTGCAGCAACCCAGGGACATTACATTAGTCATTACAATTTTGATGTGTAGAATGAACACAACGCAAGACAGATTTCAGCAATTCTAAACTTAAGGCAAACCTCCAGAGCACCTTTTCCCTGCAAGTAAAGATTGTGACCAAGGTCCAGTGAGGCAGGCACGGCAGCAAAGGATGCTACAATCTTTTTCACAAGCACTAACAAGAAGCCCTAACCACTGCTAGCAGAAGGGGGCAGGCCAAGTCTAAGTTCAGCAGCAAGACTGAATTTACCTTCTTGCCATATGTGGCTCTTCCTGCAATGCTAGTGACCTATCCCTGAAAATGAGTCTTCAAAATCTGTACTCCCATAAAAGAGAAAAGTAAAAAATATTATTTTTAACACTTTAAGTTATTATGAAATATTCTAATTCAGAGGCACAAAAAAGTAGAGCTCCCGCCTTCAGACAGCCCTGGTTTATACCAGACAGCCCTGCCTGCCAAAATGACCCCTTCATCTCTTCCTGCTGCCTCTCCAGTGGCTCAGACATTCCCACATGCAGCCATTCCCTGCTGTTCACATTTACAATTTTTCTTTGCCACTAAAAACTTTATTTTTATGCACATAGCTTCCTAAAGGAAGTGAAGCTTATGAAATCCAACTTCAACTATCTTCCTCCGTAGCAGTGCTCAAACCCAACAGCCAACTTCCAAACAAGTTTGATGAGAGTAGAGGTAACATAGATATGAAATCCCAATGTGCTTTATGAAAACAGGTGTTTCTAAAGAAGATACTCCTTCTCCTCCTCTCACCGAATGGTTGCCTTAGACCCCACTCCTCAATTCCAGTATATCCACAGAGGGGAGCCCTTATACTTGATCCAAGTATAAGGAAAGTTTCAACTGCAGCCAACTTCATTTTTAGATATCAAACTCAGTCAGACATGACAAAAAAAGATTAAGGGGCTGGGGGGAAGTAAAACCTAATTTAATTCTGTGACTCATGGAAACACTTGTTATCTAAAGACAAGATAACTCTGTTGCCTCAGCGTGACTCCAGTGTGACCGTGACCTAAACACAAAACTTCAAAACCACACTTCTAGTCTTCAACAAAGCCAAGAATACAGAGGGGTTAGCAACTTGCCATCTCCTCTCTTTCAATATGACCTGGAAAAATGTCTTCCTTGCTCCCGACCCTTCACAGTGGAAAGTTACCCTCATCCATACTCACTCAAGAGTAAGTTCAGTAAGTAACTGAAGAACAAAGTATCATCCCCTAACTTCATGCAAGCACCTTCTCATCTTCATTGTTACATTTTCACATCTTCTCCTGGGTGCTATAGCAAAGATTTCTATGCTGATAAAGGTACTGAATAAAAAATGTCAAGCATTTTGAAAGACTGTGCAACCTTTAAGGTCATAAAGATCACAGTTCTCAGGTAGTGAATCTCTGAATTTAACACAAACTTAAACAGAAATTTAACACAAAGACGCCTTGTAAGGTGATAGATAGATCTTTTCTGCCCCTTTTTGCGTGACACCCATAGAGAGATGCAGATCCCATAATATGGCTAGTGTAGAGAAGTGTCCCATGCAGAGCTTTCAGTTTCTCACAGTCTACACAATGCAAACTGACTGGAGCAGGAGTCCCCTTTGCCATTATATTCCATGAGTATTCTACCCTTAAGTCAGAAGGAGGAAGAGATCACCAAGTGTGTCCAAGTTAACTTGCATAAAGCCAGACTAGCCACTAAATAAAGGTAATTAGTCAAACGAAAGATTTCACACCATTGATGTGGTATGAAAAAGGAGGAAAAAACCTTTAAACCTTAAATAGAAGAATCTCACCACTGAAATATGATCTGTGGTTTTGGAGGGGTGAGGAGGAAAGAACTGGCCTATTTAAAATGGATTCCAGTTATATATATATACATATATATATACAGACATAAATAAGAACTCAGTTAAGGCTCAAATAACCTGGTGAGCAATGCCATTGCTGTCTCAAACATACTGCATACAAGTAAGCCTCCATTAATTTTTCATTTCCCTATCTCACTAAGATTTCCCTTCAGCCAGCAGATTCTTTGAGGCCAGCTGAGTGGCTTTCCCTGCCTTTTTTTTTAAACACCTTCTCAGTGCCTTGAAAGCCCATTTATCATCTTTGCACAGCACACAAGAACAAGGAAACGATTGATCTCTGTCATACTCTTGAAAGCTTTCAGGGGGCTATTGATAAAATTCTTTAAATCACAGAAAATGTATATGTAAAAGGTGCTCTTACATTGATGTTTATCCAATATGAGATGAATTAATATATATACACTCAATATTTCCCAGGCAGTGTAAGCCCATGGGAACAGAGACCTCATAAATCACAGCTGTTCCCTACCTACACATTGGAGATGAAGAACCCCCACTTCGGCAGCACACTGCTGCTAGGGAACTCATGTGGGTTTGTAACTTTTCTTTGAGGATTATAAGAATTGTTTTCTCCTATCCTAAAGCAGGATACTGCCACAATAGCTGCAGTTCTTAGTTGATACCAAATCACACAGTGGAGATTTGAGAAAATGGGTTTTATCGAACATCTTTTAGAGAGGTGAAACAATTTCGCCATTCAGCAACTATAACTCTATTTTCTCATCTATAAAGCAGGAAATACTCCTGTGTTCCTTGCTTGGTAAAAGAATTGTGTAAATCATCGGTAATAAAATTTATCCCTAGTGGTCTAGGTCATAAGGAAGTTCCATCTTTTCATTCCCTCTCAAGAGCTCATATCCTAATGGTAACAAACCCAACATCTTCAGGCACACACAGCTATCCTGCTATATAGGCTTTATTAAGGCATAATATCATTCCTACTGTGCTCTCACTATGATAATAGTGTTTACAATCATACCATGGCACCATCCCAGCTTTGCAGTTAAACTTATCCCCTTTTGTATTTATGGAAAACTGGCTAATCAGTAACTAATAACATAAGGTTATATTACATTAATAATAAACATGGACATCCTATTGCAATAAATTTTGAGGTTCTGAAATGGATCACCAGCTAAGCCCAAATGGATGGTGTTATTAAAATATTTTAAGACCTGAAGAAATACAGACAGTAAGAGTTTTAACTGTTACTAGCACATTGGCAGCAACAAAAGCAAATAGGTATAGATACCCACTGAGCAAAATTGAAAAAAACTACGAAAAGCAAGAAAATTTAGAAGTCGTGATATCCAGAGAGCCATGCAAGCAAACGCAGGCCCAGAGCAATACTTGAAGACTTAGAAAGGGAGAAATACAATATCATTACTTTAACTGCTAATGACACATACTATAATAAAAATTATTTCATAACTGATACTGAAATAATAATGACCATAATGTCACAATCACAAAAGGGGGCACTTTAAAAATAAAAAAAATAAAAAAGAAATCAAGAGACTATTGGAAAGAGATCAGTAAAAGAAACTCCTAGGTATAAGAAAGCATCAAGTTACCAAAAAAAAACAACCCCAAAGCACCACCACACCATGGCAGTTTCACTTATACAATTAACAGAAATATCAGAGAACAACATTCTTGGTTAAACAGCTGCAAATTTTTTGCTCTAATACAAAGATTTATAAAGTGGAACTGGGTCATGATGACCTATCAAAAATCCTTATGAGTATTTATTTCTACATACATAAGCACACATTTCTCTGCCTCAAGAGTTGTGAAAGTATAGACAAGAGAAAACTGAACAACAGCTATCATCCAAATGCACTTTTAAAAAGACATAATAATTCATAAATGTAACATTCTTAACTGACCCCTGTCATTACAAAAAAAGAACCAAAAAACCCCAATCTGAAAAGTAAGTTGACCAAAACATGGTATTTCCCTTTTTATCGTGGTGTCACATTGTGGCAATCAGCAATTCAGCCTGGTAATCCTGCTCTGGTTTTAAGGTATCTACTTAAAATAAATTTGAATTGTTACATCTTATGTACAGAAACACATAAGCTGTTCAGTGCTTCAGTGCACCCACATTTCTACCCTTTAAGTCAGAGCAGACCAATATTAAAGTTGTCTGTCAGCCTTTAGAAAGATATGGTGTCTTTCTGCTGAATATTAGAATTATTTGCCTTTGAGAGAAGTAAAAGTTAACTGAAAATAAAGAAGAAACATTTTCATCAACTAAATCAAGAAATTATCTTTGACACTTCTGACACTATTCCATTGTTCAAGAACAGCTAACAAAACCATTACTACTAACATAATAGCAGGTACTCAGCTTGGATGGGACTGCTCACTAGCTGCAAACCAACAAGAAACTTACTTTCTACTTAAAAAAGAAAGAAAAAAAAGCCTTGGCTGAAAAACTTCCCAAGTGTATCACGTAGAACCATAAACTGATGAGGTGGGTAGCAATAAATAATTAAGACTGTGACAACTAGTACGGTGTTTATGAAAAAGTTTCTTCACTTTTTCCTCACCTTCTTCACATTTTCCATGTATTTCATCTATGCATTGAAATATCTCTCCTCTCAGGGGCCATACTGGAAAAAGACTATTGTCATGGTTTGAGAGCCCCAAAATCCAATTCCCTAGTCCTAGCCCCCTCCCACATCTCAACCCAATGTGA